ATCAAGCTCGTATATATAGGTTAAGAATATGGCTGTCTCTCTTTGCCCGTTTGTCCGGCTACACAACACATATAGAACGCTGAAAGACTCTCCCTTGTCATCATACTTACTGAGATCTTTGATGAACGCCAGGCAAACCATCTTCATATGCAAAGTTCAACAAAACGCTATCATATTAAAACTGGGAAGGCATCAAATCACTGCATGATGAGTGTACGATCAGATCCATGGGGCGATACCTTTGCTGGGAGCCTTTTTACATTGGACTTAAGATGCTGCAACCCTGATGTTGATGACATCTACTATAACTGCTGCTGCCTCCTTCAAGGTTGCCTGGCTGAAAGGAAGCAAGTATGATCGGGCAAAACAGCTCAGCCAACGATATAGACAAACTAACAAGACACTGGTAGCGCTCTTGTGTCAAGCTTTGTATTAGACAGACGGTCCAAATCTGTGATACCAGAGGTTGAAACCACCTTGCACCGACTTTTTCTTCGTCCCACACGGCCAACTAAACTGCCTTGCCTCCTTAATGAGTTGGGCGTTATGCCGATGCATATACTCTATACAAGTTCGCGCCCCACGATAATGCTGTGCCCGCAAATCTATACCGGAGCCCGCCAGCCAATAAACATAGACTCCGAGCTACTGGTGAGCGTCCATAGATTCAATTGGATGCGCAATTCACTGATCTGCCCCTGTGATATTTATTGATTTCTGAATGTCTGTAGTCGAAAATGGTTTGCTGGGTTACCCCCCAACTATACTCATCCTCGGCAGTTTGACAACACGACCTGGAATTTAACGAACAATCCATCGATTCGAACTCCCAATCATTCATCGGAACTTGAAATCACTTTGATCGTAAGTTCTCTCTTTTCACCTGTTCCTTCATTGTCATCTAGTGACTCTCACGTCCGGCACTTTCCGGTGTGTTCCGCCGTCTTTTGACAGGGCCGTCCGGTCCTCGTTCGTGCTATACCATTGCTTATTTTCTCGAGCTATTGAGTTTGAATTGCATTGAGAACTTCATACTTTGTTCGAGACTTTGCAAAGTCTTGAAAGCTATTTATCATCAGACGAGACCAGGCAGCACATGCTAATCATAAATTAGGACACAATGGATCCTTACAACAACAATCATAACAACTACTTCCTGCCTTGGGGCAGCGAAGATGGAAACCATCACGATCAAAGGCCCGACAATCACAACAACAATCACAACTGCTACTATTACCCTCCCGTTCCGACCGGTTATTCTGTTCCTCCTGTTCCTCCTGGTCCTCCCGGTCCTCCCGGCCCTCCCGGTCCTCCTAGTCCTCCTGGTCCTCCTGGTCTTCCTAGTCTTCCTGATCCTCCCGTTTCTCGTGGTTCTATGGCAATCTGTCCTGGTGCCTTGTTCATTCCTCCTACAGCTCCCGCCCCTCCCGTCCAGCAGACCATGTCCACAAAGGCTCACTGGAAGTGCCGACTTTGCGGCTCCCGCAGGTTCACCTCGCTTTCGAAGAACCAGCGACACCCTCGAGACAAGTGCCGCGCTCCACTCTCCAATCCCCGTCGCATCGTTCAGCACTACGCCACGATGCACTTTGAGCACAGCGAGCTGGAGCGCTGCAACGAGCTGGCCGACTGTCTTGAGGCCAATCGCGCTTTCTTCGCTCCCTGGATGGAACGGCGTCTGCGGGAGTGTGGCCTCGATGCTAGCCAGGACGTTAACCATGCGATCTACCACCTTCGTCGTTCGGGCAAAATGCTCATCACACTGCGGAAGGTTGCTTTTTGCGCTCCCAAGGAAGTTGCTCCGACTTCCAACGTGGAGGATTCTGCTCCAGCTCCCGGCGAGGAGGAAATCCAGTAGAAAACCTTCATTGGATTCCTCTCAGTGTTGTTGTTCCTGCCGATATGCAGCTTGAGCTTCACGGAAAACCCTTCACATGTGACCTCGGTCTTGGGGTTCGATGAATACGCCTTGATGAGGTCTCTGGTCTTGTAAGTTCATTCGGGTCTGCTACCAACGTTGCAACAACTAACCTCATTGTACAAGTCTACTACGTCGACGGATAAATCAATCACGAACAGGGAGGGGAAACACGGCGTTCTTTTGCTTTTCTAGGTAGCTCAGAATGCTACATTGCCGTTTAAGTCGGCTAAAAGTCTGGATTCTTCGTGATGCCAACGTGAATTCTACTTTGCAATGACAACGGGAGCCTGCCTTCGTGGATATGGGCGTTTTCTGAAGGCTTGCACGCCACACCTGGCCTTGTGAACCTCAATTGAACGAGCCATAAATAACCCACAATGATCGACGTGGGCCACACTAATGCTCATACACAGGTCATTCTGCGCTTTCGGCGAGCTGGTGCCCATTTTGAGTTTGCGAATATTAATGAAATCGGCCGACATGCCAGCCACTGAGTGGCTGGTGGGTGCTCCTTCCCGGAGTTAAGAAGCCTCTTAAACGTCAAACAATCTCGATCAAGTCACTGTCGGAGCTCTATTCTTTAAGCTCGTTTTTTTCAACATTCGTCTCCGGGATGAGGTGGTCTCGGTTGGTGCGCATCTGGGGTCCAGGGTGATGAATACGACAGTCTCCGCATCACGGATGATCACGTACCGTGATCCATGCGGGTGTTTCTCCATGGAGCAAACGTCTCCTGTCCGCTAACGCATACCATATTATGATCTGCCACGGAGCCAGTGCAATTAGTCCGATGCTGGCAATTTGTCCGCCGCCGCGAAATGCTTGGTTTCGCAACATTTTGGAGTTGCTTAAAAGAGGTCGACATCGCCTCTGGAACGCAATGACCGACAGAGGTAGGCATCCAGGGACTCCGACATCATCGTGATGGTTTTCGCCAAGCTTCTCCCCTTGTTGGGGTTGCTCTCTGCGGCGACTGCTGTTCTGGGTTCCGCTCACGTCGCGCGTTGTGGTCAAAATGAAACCTCAGACTCCTTCACCAACCCAGTGCTCTACGAGGACTACCCCGACAACGACATTTTCACGGGGCCTGACGGCAAATTCTACTTCTCAGCGTCCAACTTCCATTTCAGCCCCGGAGCACCTATCCTCCGTTCCGGGGACCTTGTCAATTGGGAGCCCGTGGGCCACTCGATCCCACGCCTCAACTTTGGCGACGGCTACAATCTCAACAACGGTCGAGCCTACCGTGGTGGCACCTGGGCCTCGACACTCCGCTTTCGCGAAAGCAATGGCCTATGGTACTGGATTGGCTGTGTCAACTTCTGGCACACGTGGATTTTCACGGCGCCCTCGCCCGAAGGTCCCTGGAGCACGAGTGCACGTCTGGGCGACGGCGTATGCTACTACGACCTTGGCTTGCTGATTGACGATGACGACACGATGTACGTCGTGTACGGCTCTGGCAATGTGCGCGTCGCCCAGCTCTCTGCGGATGGGCTTTCCGAAGCTCGCTCGCAGGAAGTCTTCGAAGCCGCCGACGTGGGAGCTGATTCGATTGAAGGCAACCGTATGTACAAGATTAACGGGACTTACTACATCCTCAATGACCGGCCCGGATCAACGACATACATTTGGAAATCCGAGAGCCCATGGGGCCCCTACGAATCCAAGATACTCGTCGACAGCGTGACGCCGCCCCTCAACGGCGGCAACTCGCCGCACCAGGGCAGCCTCATCGAGACGGCGAAGGGTGATTGGTACTTCATGTCGTTCACCTGGGCCTACCCTTCGGGTCGTCTTCCCGTTCTACGCACCCATCTCCTGGGGGAGCAAACGGCTTCCCCCGTCTTCGTCAAGGGTGCCAACGGCAGCTGGGGGAGCTGAATACCCCCTGCCGTTGCCTGCTGAGCCTCTCTTCAATTGGACCTTCACTGAGACGTTCGCCGGCTAGTCGCTTGGCCCGACCTGGGAATGGAACCACAACCCCGACATCGAGCAAAAAACAAGGTGAACAACGGCCTCACGCTTAGCACCGCCAGCGTGACGACCGACCTCTACGCGGCGAAGAACACGTTGACGCACCGCATCCACGGCGAGTTCCCCGTCGGCACGGTCGAGCTCGACTTTTCGTCTCTCGCTGACGGCGACCGCGCCGGCCTCGCGGCGTTCCGCGACCAGAGCGCCTCCATCGGCGTGTACCGCGCCGGCGACGCGTACGCGCTGACTGCTGTGCACGGCATGATCATCGACGAGTGGAACGGAACGACGATTTCAACGGGACGCGTCGAGGCGACGGCACCGGTGCCTGCTGGGGCGCGCAAGGTATGGCTGCGGGCAGAGCTCGACGCGAGGCCGGCGGGCACGAGAGCGGCGAACTTCTTATACAGCTTCGACGGCAAGGCCTTCACGACGCTGGGCGGAACGTATCAGATGACGAACGGCTGGGCATTCTTCCTGGGGTACCGGTTCGGAATCTTCAACTACGCAACCAAGGCACTCGGGGGTTCGGTCAAGATTGAGTCGTTCACGACGGCGTGATCAGATTATTCAGAGACACCAGGGCCGTGCTTGGCAGGTTTTCATGATGTTTAGTGCTGTGCAGGCTCCCGCTGTTTTGATGGGTTCGTTTGCATCTCTCAGCAGCAAGGGGGCCTGTGTCTGTGTTGAGAGAAGCAATTGGAATGGCGGGGCGACACGACGCGCGGCGTTGTCTAAGTTTCATTGCTAGTTGATGCAGGTCGATTAACTTGGATCGCGATTATCGGGCGCTACTGGAGAGCGATGCAACTAGATCGTGGATAGGTAACATTGAATCGGGCATTCACGATACAATTACATTCTTGCGAGTGGCACCTTAAACTGGTTGGCATGAGCACAGGCTTTATGATTTTCTGCAGGAATTGGAATTTCCAGCAAATGAAATCTGTCCAGGTCTAATGGTCTAATGGTTATGACTGCGGATTCTGATTCCGCCAGCCCAGGTTCGATTCCTGGTTGGACCTGATTTCACATGCATTTCCTTTTTCTGTGTACGACAGACACTCTTTTTGTACTCGCCCTGAAGTATGTCCAAGCTAGCATTATCGAAGTGGTTACATCGAAAACCATACTGTTCCTAAGCACATGGTCGCCATGAGGCGCCCCACCGTAGATACCTATTGTGAAGATGGCATCAGCCACGGAGTCCAGATCTCCGGCCAGCGACGAGCGTTTGAGATCAAGACTGGGGACAGACCAGCAGCAGGACATCAGCATCAGGGGCGCATCGAAGCCTAGACACCCTCCTAGGAGGCTCATACCTAAACTGGATTGGCCAAGCCTGAGCGGTGTAGAAGTAGTTAAACGATTCACCCAGCAGGGACAAGGCCGGTGTATCCGCCCACCACATACAGTCGATCGTTCGGTTATGCGAAGCCACTGCTACCCACCGCGAATGAACCTGCTGTCATGGCTTGCCCCACTTTCATCGCGAGCATCCAGATATTCATACCATCGCCTCCTTCCCTCTCTCCCTTTCTTGCTCTCGTTCTCCAGCTTGATGTCTGGCTCTGTTCTTCGGATGCCGCGAGCCAGACACCACGTGATACCTCCGACTCTTGTCCACTGCTCCCGCATTGAGATCTCTAAGCTTGCTCAGCTGCCAGCTGGACAGTGGCTGTCTGTCGCAGGATATCAAGACATCTCGTTGTTGCCGCACAGATTGATCTGGCCACAAATACGTGCGTGAAACCGACACGAATCACACCCGAGCTCGCCACCTCACACGCTACATGGTCTCAAGTGATTAAATTCTCCACGGCCCTGAAAGATCTGCTGCAGCATCTCGCGGTATAGGCAGATCATGTCGGCCCCCTCTATCAAACTACAAGAAAAGAAGAAAAGGGCGACAAGCTGGGCGGACAAGACCCCATGCATGCGAACGAATGTGTCAAGTGCACGAAGATTGCTCCCTTTCCCTTCCCTTGCCATCGCCGTGAAACGCCCGCATATACACACAGCAAAGCCAGACGTGCCAGGCCAAGACAGCCTTTCCAGAAAACAGTTGCCTCCTTGCCTCTTCTCTCCTGCTCTGTATTCTGCAGCATCCAACGGCACGTCTATTTCCTTCCATAGGGTGTCCAGTCCCGTCTCTCTCGTGACCGGCCATGCAGATGCAAACACATGGGTAATATTTCGCTCATTCGGTGTTCTTGTACGCGTTTCCTTCTCGTTTGTCCTTCTCCTGCTCTTCTTTACATACCAACACCCTTGCCGATGCCCTGGACTCTGAAGCCAAGCTTCTCGAGCTCTGGCGCAGAGACAATGTTACGGCCGTCAAGGACGAGCTTGGGAAGCTTCATGTGGCGAGACACCTCTTCCCAGTCAACCGCATCACCCTCATCCTCAGCAGCAGCAGTCTGGCCGCACCCTTTGCAGTCGGCAGGGCACTCCTCAGCGACAAGACGCTTGAGCGGGTCAACGGCTGTGCCGTTATTCCCGCGGGTGACGAACTTCTCGAGGTCGATAATGTCCATCTCCGTAGGTTTAGGGCCGAGGAAGCCGGCGTTGGCGATGGCCTTCTGCTGCTCCTTGCTTCCGTTCCAGAGGCTCGTGCGACGGGCAGTGGCCTGGGCCTGGGCGGGATAGCGGAAGTGGTACCAAGGGGTCAGGATGCAGATCGCGGAGGAGCCCTCTGTGGTGTCGCGCCAGTTGTTGCGAACCTTGATCTGGGAAAGCGTGCGCTCATCCTTGATGTGCTCGCGGACCTCTTCCATAATCTCGGCAGCCGAGCAGCCGGGGTCGAAGATGGCAATCTCCTTCGGCCTCTCATTGGAGATCTCGCGGATAATGTGAACAGCAATGGAGTTACGGGTATCATTGGTGCCTTCCTTGAAAGCGAAGCCGAGAATGGCGACCTTCTTTCCCTTCAGGTTGCCGTTGAGAGCGCGGTGGACCTTCTGGGTGAAGCGATCGCGCTGGTACTTGTTGATGTCGAGGACACCCATCCAGTAGTCAGCAACGGTGTCAAGGTGAAGTGTGCGGGCCATGTAGCTTAGGTTGAGAATGTCCTTCTCGAAGCACGAGCCACCAAAGCCAACACCGGCGTGAAGAAACTTCTTGCCGAGACGAGTGTCAGCACCAATACCCTTACTGATCTCTGACACGTCAGCACCAAGCTCCTCGCACAGCGCGGAGATGGAGTTGATGGAGGAAATGCGCTGAGCCAGCATGGCGTTGGCCACGAGCTTGGTCAGCTCACTAGACCACGTGTTGACAAGGAGGACCTTGACCTCGGGGACCCAAGCCGTGTAGATGCTCTTCAAGGCCGCAGCGGCGCGCAGACCGGCGGGCGTCGTGTTGCTACCGATCAGGATACGGTCGGGATGCATGAGGTCACGCACGGCGGTACCCTCGGCGAGGAACTCGGGGTTAGAAACAACCTCGTACTGGCATTCTGGCCTGTGCTGGTGCATCTGCGAGGTGACAGTTGGGTTAGCTTGACGCTGGGCAAATCTCCCGGGTGGGAGAGTCCTACAATCTGGTGGATCATGCGGGCAGTGCCCGTAGGGACCGTGCTCTTCTCAACAATGACGGCACCGTCCTTGGCGTACTTTGCAACAGTTTCTGAGGCACCTTCAACAGCGCTGAGGTCGGCAGTGTAGCCAGCACCAATACCGTAGGTCTTGGTCGGGGTGTTGACGCAGATCAGGACAATCTCAGCGGTGGAGATGCCGTGCTGGACGTCGGTGGAGAAGAAGAGGTTGGGCTGACGAGCGGGCAGCTCGACAGTCTTGTCGAGCCCTGGCAGGATAGCCGAGGTCTTCTGAGTGCCATCACGGGCGATCCTCACAATCTTAGGGAGGCCAGCCTCGTGGATGGGAAGGTGGGGGGAGTTCCAGGCGGCAACACGGTCAGCGTTGAGGTCGACGACGTTGACGATAATGTCGGGGTTGTGATAGGCAACGAGAGCGGCAGTGGGACCACCTAGGGGTAGCGAATTGAGTCAGCGGAACAGTTCAAACAAGGTCTTGGTAGGATTTTGCGGCCGCTGCGGTTCCCGAAGCCACGGGTCCGCGAGGTAATTTGGTGGGGTCGCCAGCAACGCAGACCAGAGCGAGGGCTGCAGACAGAGAGTTTTCTCGCGTTTGTTTCCGCAGCGCAAGAACCAAATAAGGCTCGCCGAGGAAGGGAATGGGAACAGGACGTACCGACGAAGCCAGCGCCGACAAAGCAGACGCTCTTGACCTTGATGGGGGCTTGCTCGGCCATCTCGTTCTCGGGGGCAGTAGCTTGGTTCTTGGAGTCTTGTTCAGGACTCCTGGAGCGGGACGCAGGAGCCGTGGTGTTGGGAGTCTCGGCAACGGAATCGACTTCGGAGTGAGCAACGGATTGCGCGTCAATGGGGGATGCTGTGTCGGTTGGGTTGAGGGCGGCGCGGTTGGGAATGGCAGCCATGAAAGCCGTCCGAGTTGGTGAGGGGCTGGGGGGGAGGGTTGCAAATAAGTCGAGGTCGCGTTGCGACGCTGAAGGAGTCGCGTTGGGTTTATCGGGGAAGAGAGAAGCGAGTGGAAGTCGGATCGAGTTTCTCGAGGCGACCGTGGCAGAAAAGAGGGCGGGCGGGTTCAGGAAAAGGGGGTCGAGCCAAGGGGTTAGACAGGATCGAGTCGGATCTCGTGCTACTTGCGGTGTGGAGGATGTGGGTGCGGCGGTGGTTTGAGGGAGGATGAGCGGACAGCCAGGCGGCAGAGTGTAGCAGAGAGCAACGAGGTTAGGTCAATTGCACTGTCCAAGGGAGGAGATCGATGAGGCAGTTCAAGTAGAGGAAGACGGGCGGCAAGTTCTTTCATACAAGAACGAAAACCGTCCGTCAGCAGCGATCGGGGCCGCCAGAATTTTCGTGCCAGGGACACTCGATATACTGGCTGTTGTTCGGGTGTGAATGTCTTGGCGCCCAGAATGTACAGGTCTGCAGCGTGACGGCGGAGCAGAGACTTGGTTGCGGCAGGACGTACCTGCCGCCCTTCATCTTCCTGCCCAGTTTGCCATGCCTGTCAGGCATGCCTGCCCGCTTGCGGTGGGTTTCGGCCTGTGGCGGCTTCACTGGCAGGAAGGAATTAGGGGGGGTCGCACGTGGAGATGCGTTACAAATGGAACGCGACCACCCAATCTCCATGTTCAGAATGTTAGTCGTTCCTGCCAATCAATCAGACGGGGAGATGGGATTGCCCGCCTGGGAAACTAGTGTACCACAGCGGCCTCTCTAGTGCAGTGACGATGGCCCCCAAATTCCCTCCCCCAATGTCCCTAAACCCCCTGGCATAGTGACATGGTGGGCCGGCCATCCCAGTCCTTGGGTCCACGCGTAATTCTGAAAATGAGGTGATTGGAATTGGGTCTGAAGCCAAGGTACCGCCTACCTTTCCTGGTACCTTGCTGCAGGATTTCTGCTGGAAAGTCTTCCGTGAAGGGTGAAGCACCTACATCGCGTTTGTGCTCGCATCCCAAACCATTAGACAAAAATTCGACTTTGTTTTCTTTCCGAGCAATCGAGTGTCTGT